ATTGCTCACTAGAATGACTTTCCAACAGCCCAATCAGCCTAAGAATTGGCCTTATCCACCTCAGCATCTTTTATGAATTTCATGCTCTCTGCAGTGTTCCTCTCCCCAACACCAGCACAACTCCACCGCTACCACCGCCACAACAACAACAACAACAACAACAACAACAACAACAACCCACATTATCATCCTCTCCAGAATAGAATGATTATGCTGTTTTGTTTTGGATGCTATACATAGGAATGGTTTCTTGGAGTTGTGTGTGTGTCATCTTCCCTTTTCTATTTGGTAAGTTCTGAACATCTTCACTATTTTGCATGTGTTTTGCATTTGTTTCTATATGATTATTGGTTTTAATAATAGAAAAGATAGATGGGTGTGCTTTATATTTTCTGTGCTTTATAAAATTATGATTTTTTTTTTTGGCTTTTTGTTTTCTTAATTTTATGTGTGTGTTTTTTTAAAAAAAGACTTTCTGGGTTCATCTTTTCATCTTTGCAGCAGTTGCACCAGTTACAATGGAGTTCCTGAGGAAGAAAAGAAAAGAGATTTGATCTGGTGTGGTAGGATTGCAAATAGATGGTTATGATAAATAGAATTTTGATATGATTTGGTCAAACTTAAACAAACATATGAAAACACTTACATAAAGATATAAAGCTTTGTGAGTATACGAGTGACATTGCAGTTAACAATCTCAAAATATATTATTATTGCCTTTTACATAATTACATATAAATAACTAGAAAATATGAAATTAGTATCTAATGTATAATGTAGGCACATTTTAAAAATAACTAGATTTCATCTACGTAACACATATTACTAAAAATAAACAGTTAAAAAAACTTACATAAAAATACAAAGCTTAGGATATATTATTATTGTCTTTTACATAATTTTATATAATATATGTACATTTTAAAAATAGCCGGATTTCATCTACGTAAGTGTTAGTTTGCTAACAATCTCAGGAAAAATAAATCATGATTACCCTGACATGTCAAATTTGAGACATGTACAACAACAAAATCGTGAACAACGTCGTTTATACCTACAACAGAGGAGGCAACGCTCAGCTTCGGAGTCAAATGCTCAAACTGAACAACCACAAAGAGAATTCGAACAGTTCCGCCTTCAAAACTTGTGCACTGAACAACGCTCAGCAAGATTGGAGCAACGCCGTCTTGCTCAGCTTAGGCGAAGATTGTTTATTCGCGAACAAAGCACGAGTTCTAATGTGCAACAAAGAGAAATTCAAAGGGAAAGTTTGCGTAATTACGCCAGACAAAGGAGGGCTGCTTTGACTACTGAACAGCGCAAACAACAACTAGCAAGGCGACGAACAAATTATCTACAAAGAAGGCAAATATCTGAAAATCTCGAACAAACTTCTCATCCAGATCAAGCACATAATATGACAAATGCACAAACAAATAGTAAGTATTCAAATTTTGTAAACATTTTTTTATTTATTTATTTTTTAATTTTTTAAGCTTTTACACTTCTAAATTTTACATTAATATTCATTTAATTTATTATGTACAATTTTAACTGTTAGGATGCATGTTAAACTTTTTCGATGCAATCCCAAGAAGAAATAGAATAGGATGGCGCAGCCCGAGAGCAACAGTTTTGCCAACCATTCACAAAGAAGGGGATTTAGTTGTGACTAATGTTTTTAGTCGGGAAAGTAGAATGTCTCTACGCTCACATATCGACTTATTCTGATATGCACCTACTCATTCGACTTATGAGCATGGAAGCACAAGTGGCAACAGACAAGATGATCCTCACAAAGTTCAGATGGAAGGTAAAAATAAATTATTTAGTTTAAGTACTTTTACAAAACAAACAACATTTACAATAAATGTAAAAAAGATGGCCATGCAAATATGATATGCAGTACAATTACAATTAATATTGAACATGCAACTCAAACACTTTCAAATAAATACTATTCTGTTAACAATGAACCTATACATCATACATGTATTGTTATAGGAAATATCCCTCATGTCGACCACAATCAAGATGCTTTGAGTGATGAAGATATTCTAGATAATCGATCATTTATCCATAGGAGATATCACAATTGTGCAAGAAATTTTCATGAAAGTGAAAGGTTCCAAAGAATGCAGTTTCCTACTCCAACTACATGTAGACATTGCAACGCAAGATTGTCCCACCGTGAAACGTCTACCATGTATTGTAATAATGGAACCATTGTTTTGCCACCAGTAACAGCTCCAAATGAGATGATTGATATTTTCTCTGACCAAACAGTGAAGGGTTGTCATTTCAGACAAAATATTCGATCCTATAATCATGTTTTCTCATTCACTTCAATGGGTGTTCATGTTGATGAAAACTTAGCAACAAGAACTCGAGGTGTGTACACGTTTCGTGCACAAGGATCCATATATCATAAGATTGGGAGTCTCTTACCAAATTCTAGCGGTAGACCGAGATATTTGCAACTGTATGTTTATGACACTGACCACGAGAATGAGAATCGAATGTCTGAAAATGAAGAATTGCACTTGGATTTGCTTGACAAGATAAAGAATATTTTAAATGCTCATAATCCATTTGTACACACGTTTTGCCAGTTAGCTCAGCGTCCAGATATACATGAATGCAGACTTCAGATCAAAGAGCAACCACGTAATAGGCCCCAATACAACCTTCCGACTGCTCCTGAAGTTGTTGCAGTTTTAGTAGGTGGCGAAGAAGCTGGAAATTTAAGACCAAGAGATATCATTGTCCAATTAACCAGTGGTCACCTCCTAAATATTCCTGATATTGTCGGATATTATGATCCATTACAGTATCCTCTGTTGTTACCCTATGGTTCATATGGATGGGATGCAAATAGTAGAAGTAATGATGGCAGAAAAGTAACATGTTGTGATTTCTATTCTTATATGCTACAGGTACAACGTACACATAATATCAAAAAATTACTTCGTCGAAGTTACTTAATCTATAATTATTTATAAGTATTCAACTACTATCAATTCAGATTCGCCCTAGTGATCAATCTCTTTTCCTTCGAGGAGGTCGCCTCTTACAGTAGTATGTTGTAAATAATTACGTGAAGATTGAGTTCAACAAATTAAGATGGATACGTACTCATTAGAATCACATTCGAGCAGATTTTTATCAAGGTCTTCTAGATGCAGCACATGTTTGTGAAAATTATGGAGGTACAAATTGCCACTACAACTACATGTATTCACGTTTGTTTATATTCATACATATAATTTTTTTTTTGTGAAATCCAAATTTGTTTAGGTAATGTCGATCGTAGAACAATATTACCGTCGTCATTTGTTGGTAGCCCACGAGACATGTATCAGCGATATCAAGATGCAATGGCTCTGATCCAAAAGTATGGAAAACCTGATCTTTTCCTTACAATGACTTGCAATCCGAATTGGCCTGAAATTTAAGCTGAGTTACTACCTGGACAGTCACTACATGATCGCCTTGATTTGCTAACAAGAGTATTTCATTCAAAATTTGATGAGATGAAGACTGACATTCTTACAAAACATGTACTCGAGAAGGTTCTAGCATATGCATATGTTATTGAGTATCAAAAAAGAGGCTTACCACATGCCCACATGGTCATTATTTTGGATGAAAATGATAAGTTACGCACTCTTGACGATTATGATAACATTGTCAGAGCTGAAATTCCAGACAAAAGATTAGAGCCTAGATTGTACAGTGCAGTTCTGAAACGCATGATACATGGCCCATGTGGAATGTACAATGAACGATCACCATGTATAACAAATGGTCGGTGCAAAAGACATTTCCCAAAGCCATTTTCTCCAATTACTACACTTGGAAACGATTCATATCCTGTTTATCGAAGAAGAGAAGGGGAGTCAGTTCCATTAGAGAGTAATCCAAGCATCTTGGTGGATAATAGTTGGGTCATTCTGTACAACCCATGGTTGCTCTTGGAATATGATTGTCATAGCAATCTTGAAATTTGCAGTAGTGTTACAAGTGTGAAGTATTTATACAAATATGTTTTATAAAGGGCCTGATCGTGTTGCACTAGAAGTTCGTCAAGGTCCTAATTATGACGAAGTACAACAGTTCATAGATGGAAGATGGGTTTGTGCTCCAAAAGCATTGTGGAAAATATTCAAATTTCCAATGACCAGAATGACCCCTAGCGTAGAACACCTCCAAATATACTTACCAAATAAGCAGCAAGTGCGGTTTTATATGTTCCAAGACATCACAAATGTTTTAAGAGATGAGTATTATTCCAGAACAATGCTTACCCAATTCTTTCAATTAAATGTTGATGACGAAACTGCAAATCGGTACTTATATCGAGAGATCCCTCAACATTATAGATGGTGCAATAGTGCAAAGATTTGGAAGTTGAGATTGAATCGTCAAAGAGTAATTGGTAGAATTTACACAGTTTCGCCATCAGAAAGGGAGAGATTTTACCTGAGAATTTACTCAATCATATCAGAGGACCAAAATCATTCGACCATTTGTTAATGGTTAATGGAATTGCGTACCCAACTTTTAAAAAAGCAGCTGAACATCATGGTTTGTTAGAGCATGATGATAGCATACGACAATGTTTATTAGAAGCTGCAACCATGCACATGCCATCAACATTAAGGAGATTGTTCGTTACAATTTTGGTTTACTGTGTGCCAACAGGGGTGCGAAGTTTGTGGAATGAAATTTATCTTTACTTGATTGAAGATTACATATCTTCAAACAGTATGAATAATATGTATATCCTTAACAAAACCCTGCATGATATAAACTGTCTCCTGCTACAGCATAATAAGAACATATCAGAATACGATTTGCCTGAGATGACAATGAATTTGGATGATAATTCAACAGTTCCAAAGGTCATACAAGATGAGCTTTCCATTGTAACTCCTTGAGAAGACTTAAATTCCATTGCCACGTTAAATAATGATCAATGCTTAGCATTTAATTCAATCATGGAGGCTGTGGAAACCAATACTGGTGCAATCTTCTTTGTGGATGGACCAGGAGGAACTGGAAAGATATATTTATATCGTGCACTGTTAGCCTCAGTGAGAAGTCAAGGTCGAATTGCCATTGCAACAATAACTTCTGGAATTGCAGCTACACTTTTACCTGGTGGAAGGACAACCGATTCAAGATTCAAGATCCCATTAAATCCAGAGGCTTCATTCATGTGCTCCATTACTAAACAATCAGATTTGGCAGAATTGATTAGACGTGCAACAATCATCATTTGGGATGAAGCTACAATGACGAATCGTTATGCTTTTGAAGCTTTGAATCGAACACTCATAGACATCACTGGTGTTGATTATCCATTTGGTGGCAAAATTATGGTGTTTGGTGGTGACTTTCGGCAAGTACTTCCAATTGTTCCTAAAGGTACAAAAGCTGAAACTATTGCTGCATCGATAGTCAAATCATCTCTCTGGAGTAACATTCAAATACTTCGTTTAAAGCAAAATATGCGATCTATAAATGATCAACAGTTTGGTGAATTTCTTTTACGTGTTGGAGATGGTGTACAACCTACCATTGTAGATGAAATGATCAAAGTACCAACATTGATGGCAATACCATGGAACGGCGAAGAATCAATAGTTCGACTATTACAAGAAATTTATCCTGATATCAGAAACCATTCCTTTGATGTCGGATATATGGTTAGTAGGGGCATAATAACTCCTCGCAATGAAGATGTCGACAAGCTCAATGAGAAAATCATTCAAAGATTTCTGGGAGTATCAAGAGTGTACCACTCATTTGATAAAGTTGAAAATGATACCCAAAATTTGTATCAACAAGAGTCTTTAAATTCCATTTCACCCGGAGGAATGCCCCCACATGCATTGCATTTGAAAGTTGGAGCCCCAATTATGCTTTTAAGGAACCTTGACCCTTCTTTTGATTTGTGCAATGGCACAAGGCTACTGTGTCGAGCTTTGAATGATAATTTCATAGATTCAAAGATTTTAACAGGACATTTCAAAGGCACGAGAGTTTTCCTGCATCGCATTCCATTAAAGGCTCCGAAAAACTTAAAACTTCCATTTGAAATGACTCGCACACAATTTCCAGTTCGCCTTAGTTTTGCTTTGACAATAAATAAATCACAAGGTCAAACAATTCCACATGTGGGAATTTACCTTCCGGATCATGTATTTAGTCATGGGCAACTATATGTTGCTTTATCTCAAGGGGTGTCAGATCAGACAACGAAAGTCTTGGTTAAAAAGGGTTCAGTTAATAATGAAGAAGGAGTGTATACCCGCAATGTAGTCTAAAAAGATGTTTTGTTACCAAATTATTGATACAGTTCTTATTTAGCTTATATTATGTCATTTTTTTAATCTACAATTAATGTACTTATAATATATCTTCGTATAATTATAAATTGTAGGAATACTTGAAAAAATAAAACTACTTCAACTTTGGGAGAATTATCAAGAGGAGGCAAATATGGTTGCAGATAAGAAAGTTGCAAATCAGGTATTGGCTTCACTTATGTTCAAAACATTATGTTTGTAAAATTTTTGCTATTTAGTCTGACAACATTCGCATATATTTTGAGTTTTACTGTACCTTTTAAATTAATGTAGGTCAAACAGTTCTCCATATACAGTCTTGGATGGAAGGTCTCTATTAAAGTTGATAAAAAACAATTAGGAAAATCAATTGTGCGAGAGCTTTTGAGGCAACAACAACATCGGTATGATAACGTGTTTGCGGCATTTTATATGAATCATTTCAATATGTTACATTGCTAATAGTTATCGTACTTTTTTTAAAGCAGAAATCGTATCATATCTGATAGAGCAAGTATATGCAGCAAAGACAATATGGACATATATGTGGTAAAAATCAAGTCTTATGAAGTTTACTACTATGTTCCATATATTCATATTTGTAAATTTACAATTTAATCTTAGATTTCATAAATTTGTCAAACAATCAACTTACAAGGAAGTGGGATATTTTGCCTCAGTTTTATAGGCAACGAATGATACAAAAATTGAAAGCTTACAAAGATATGTGCAACGTTGTTACAAGATAATCTACTTATAGGTTTGTATGTATAACAAAAGTTACGTATTTCATTTTTTTTATCAATTCCATCTTATTTTTTATAGTTTAATGTTGTCACAGATCTATAGCAAAAATTGCATCAAGACAATTTGAAGAGATTGTTGAACGTGCCGTTTGATTTGGACAATGTCAATCTATGTCAAAATGTAAGTTTTTAATTTTGTTTATAAAAAATTAACACAATAATTACCTTTTGTGTCTTTATATATAATAATAAGTCAATTAGAAAACCAAAGTAATTATTGTTCTCTATTAACTACAAATATGTATAATTATGGCTCACTTTAAGAACGTAAAATTTTAATTTAATCAATGTATGTTATTAGCAAACTAATTTTTACATATATCTTATATATTTTTTTGCAGGATTTGCAGGATCTCCAGTCTCATGTTACCAAATTCAGATTTTATATGAATTTTTGTTGTACATATTTTTTAGTTAAGATTAGTAAATATTGTATTTTTTCAAAGATTTGTACATCTTTTAATGTATGTGTATTTTATTTATCAAATACGTTAATATCAAATGTTACATTGTACATAGTTACCCATTTTATTTATATGTATATTATTAGAAAAAATAATATGAAATTCATATTATAATTCAAAAAGAAATTGCACACACATCGTGTGTGCCCAGCCGCTAGTAATATACTATGTCAACTGAAAAATCTAATTGATTATATGCTAAGTTCTAATTTATTGTTAAAAATTTCAGAAAATAATGCAAAAATGACTTTCTAGATTTATTTATATATTTATTTATTTATTTTTACACACCTCAGCCCCCTACCCGAAATGAATACAAATTGAAATAGTAATTCGGCACAATATGTGGATGTATGGATAGGGAAGTTTTTTTTTGGGAGCACTGGATAGGGAAGTTAAGGACAAGAGAATTGAATTATTTAAAAAATATTCAATAAAACAGACAATACAATTAATGAAAACAAACTACTACTTGTGATTATAATCCATTTTAAAAAATTATTTTTTTTTGGTCTTCTTGTTCAGAAATATCCAAGTTTAGATTTAGAATGGTCCTGTTTGGTGTAGCTGTTAAAACAGATTATAGATTATAGCTTAACAGATTATAGATTATGATTTTAATCAAAAGTTGTTAATCTGTTTGGTATAACTGTTGGATTATAGATTTAAGTTGCTGAGTAGTGTTTGTTAAATAAACTGTGAAGTAGCTTTTTCAATTAACTTTTATTTTTTATTATTCACTATTTGTCTACATTTCTCAATAAAAAAAATATATTTTATAGTCCATTTGGGTCTTTTTCTATTTTAAAAAAAAATAAAAAATAAAAAAATCTAAGAGCATAACCGTGAATTAACATGTCCACAGCAGAAGTTGATAATCAGAAGTAAGGAGTGAGCAGCTTCTCAGAATCAGCTTTTTTTGTAAGTATTAATAATACATGTAACCATAATAATAATGCGGAATTAAACTTAATAGGATCTTGAACTCAATACAACTCAAGAATAAAACGAACATACCTTTGTCAGCCATTGAATTAGAGAAGTTGAGAAAATACCCCTAATAGTTGAACCTTGAATTCTTGGCTCACCTTCTTCTCTCTGTCTCTCTTAATTAGGATGACTATAAAACTTAAAGTGATGGAGAAATACTCATGATATGAAAATGGAGTCACCCATTCTTATATAGAGGAGAGAAGAGGGCCAAATAAACTCTATCAGAAGAATTCTTAATCCATCAAGGTTTCCTTCTTATTTTAGAAGAGTGATTATATTAAAATTCTAATTACTGAACTTTATATATAATATTGGCTTTATCTAATTGTGGAGTCCAAATAAAATAAAACATGTAAAAATATGTAGGCTATTGGGCCACACTAGAAAATAAATCCAACATTCTCCCACTTAGCCCATTAAGCCGATTATGATGTAATTATGAGTTTTTCCAAAAAATATGCAACTTATAAAAATTTTTGACTTATTGGATTCCACACTAAAAACTTTGACACGTGATCACGAATTTTAAAAATAGCCAATAAGTTCAGATATATTAGAAACTATAATACTGCGATTACTTCAGATCACCAATGTGAGTCATAGCGGTTATATAACATTTATGTCATATTTCCTTCTATGCACTACACCATTGATAACCTTCACCAACCCAGTCCTTTATCGGGATATATAATTATTTTCCTAAAAGGCCCCTATAATTTGTCTTGTTAAGACATTCCCTGGTTATCAATATTCAAATTAATGTGTACACACACTTTTAGAAACAAGAAAAATAGAAACAAAATTATTATTGCGCAAATAGTGTCAAATAAAAATAAGCACTCACTATTAACCATATACATCAAGGGTTGCTTAAAAGACCCATTCTGATAACATGCTCTTTGTATGTCTTTGGTGGCAATCCCTTTGTGAATGGATCAGCAATCATAAGAGAGGTGCTTAAGTTTTCAATTAACACTAGTTGTTTCTGGACTCTTTGTCTAACGACTAAGTACTTTACTTCCATGTGTTTGGAACCACTGGAATACTTTCCATTCTTAGAGAAGAAAACTGTTGTGGTATTGTCACAATATATCTTCAGCAGCCTGGCAATTGAGTCAACAACACCAAGTCCTGAGATGAAATTTCGCAACCATAAAGCATGATTTGTAGCCTCAAAGCATGTGGAATGTCCTTCATTTGTTTTCTTTCCAAGTCATTCCTTGGACACTGTTTTTCACTTAACTTATCACCCTTCGTAATGGATGCATCACCGGCTGAACAAAACTGCATATTGAATCTCTCCAAAACACGATCAATATATCCTTTTTGAGATAGTCCTAGCAATCCTCGAGATCGATCCCTAAAGATCTCTATGCCAATAACATAGTTTGCCTCACCCATATCGACCATTTTAAAGTTCTTGGAGAGATATTCCTTGGTTTCATGCAATAAGCCAAGGTCATTACTAGCTAACAAAATGTCATCCACATATAGCACCAAAATAATGAACTTGCTCCCACTAACCTTCAGATATATGCACTGATTAGCTGCATTTTCCTTAAATCCGAAAGAGATAATGGTATCATTAAACCTTAAATACCATTGCTTGGAAGCTTGTTTAAGGCCATATATGGATTTCTTTAATTTGCAAGCTAAATGTTCTTTACCTTTCTTTGCAAATCCTTCTAACTGCCCCATATAAATTTCTTCATCCAAATTCCCATTTACAAAAAGCAGTTTTCACATCTATTTGATGCAACTCTAAGTCATAATGAGCTACCAATGCTAGGATGATTCTAAGCGAGTCCTTCTTAGATACTGGAGAGAAGGTCTCTGTATAGTCTACGCCTTCTTTTTGAGTAAAACCCTTGGTAACAAGTCTGGCTTTAAATCGTTCGATATTGCCTTTTGCGTCACGCTTGGTCTTGAAGACCCATTTACACCCGACCTTTTGGCAGTTATTAGGCAATTCGACGAGATCCCAAACACTATTCTGTTCCATGGATTTTAACTCTTCATTTATAGCATTGACCCATTTAGAAGAATCATCACTATTCATGGCTTGTGAAAATGAGACTGGATCTTTGTTAATCCCAATATCAAAGTCAGATTCCTATAGATACACCATGTAATCATCTGGAATGGCAAACTTTCTTTCCCTCTGAGATCTTCTCAGAACTGCCGGTTGTGGTGGTTCTACAATATTTTCAATGGTGGTATCTTCATGAAGTGGTGAAACATGAGGTGGTGAAGGATTTTCAGTATGTTGTTCGTTTCCCTCAGCCTGTGGAAAAGTCTGAGACACAACAATTTTTTTATAAGGTTCAAATGTTGGGACATCCACCCTAATTTCTTCGAAATTCACCACTCGTGTTTTCTCACTCCCACTAATTTCACCATTCTTTAGGAATCTAGCATTACCAGTCTCCACTATCCTCGTACTATGATTAGGACAATAGAATTTGTACCCTTTAGACTTGTCTGGATAGCCAATGAAATATCCAGATATTGTTCTTGAGTCCAACTTTTGTTCTTGTGGGTTGAAGATTCTTGCCTCTGCTGGACAACCCCAAATATGTAAGTGTCTCAAACTAGGTTTCCTACCAGTCCACAACTCAAAAGGAGTTGTTGGGACCACCTTACTAGGAACCTTATTTAAGATACACATTGCAGTCTTTAAAGCTTCACCCCACATTGAAATAGATACAATTGAGTA